TTCTCTCTTCCCTTTCAAATACACAAAAAAGAAATCCCAGCATTTGTACTCTGATAAGCAAATTGGAGCAATCTTTTCCAGTAAAATCTTTATGCTCATCCTCAAGAGCTCTGCTTCAGTGGCACAAACAGGCAGAAAGAAACACACTCTAACATAAGGATGCTTCTTCCTTTTCTGAACTGAAGGAATGAAGTTGTCAACATCGTTTGCAATTTTTTTATCTTTATCATTAAATGACATAATAGGTAACACAATATTTGTCTTTTTATAACATCAAACATATCTGGTGTATTTTAGTTATCAACACATTACTCTGTTACTTTGTATTTCAAAAATGCAGTGAAATGGTGCCAGAAGGGACAGATTTAGCAGCAGGACTTTATTGTTGTTTCAAGTCAACAAGCAATGGGATAAGACTTTTTCGAACACCCTGCCTTCACAAGAAAACCTTGTGTCCAGGCAGTGGGGGGACACCAAAGAACTATTCCTTATAGCGAAACTGCATTTGAAGCTACATAACTAACTGCAACACTAAATATGACAAATTAAGCTCAGATTTCTAGGCAAAAATATGAATTTATTTTTTTTCAGAATCTTGGCTGCTTGTTATTCACAACCATTCCTACAACATAGAGATTTACAGTCAGTTTTATTCTGTTTCTATATTCACATTCCTTTGCACTCTTAGCTTTTGGACCCAAGCAACATAACCATATTACCTCAGCTAGGTGCGTGAAGCTAAAGTAAAGACTTCAGTCACTAGTGAATTTCTCTAGAGGCTGTTTCCAGCACATATGAGAAGCTTGGGTTCAAAAACCAAGAGCTGGTGAAAAACAGTGGAAAAGGACAAAAAGAAATGATGTGTTCTTCTGGTTTTTTCATTTGTAGATGCAATTATTATCAACTATTGGATTTGGACATCAACATGGCTCTAAATTATCCTTGAGTGCTAAGGTATTAATGGAGCTCTATGAGCTCACCCCCGTGTAGACACAGCTCTGGCAAACCACAGGCACCAGCGAGGCTGCTGGCACTCCTGACATGATCGCAGCTGCTATCCATGATACTCCATCTTCCAGGAGTTTGAATAAGTATCCTTTCCACTACATGGCTACTTGCAGTGCTTGAAAAAGTCATTATAGACTGGCTGGAATTACAGCAGAAATAATGCAGCTATTTTCGATGAAGGTCCATAGGAGTCTGGTAGAGGTTTTTATGACATGGCTTCAGGTATTACATTTTTTACGTGCTGAGACAGAAGCCTTTTGGGGAAACAACTGCTCAGGTTAAGGCCTTGGCATGTCCACTTTGTTTTAATTTCTCTAGCTGCAGGTCTCAAGCTTGCAGTGAGAGAGGTGTCCCTTCCTACCTGCTGCCAGGTTAAGATTTTCTCAGGCCCTAAAAGAAGTGCACAGGCTGGGCCCCTATGCCCATTTCTGACTGAAGCTACCTATTGAAGAATATGATCTAGAGGGTAAAAAAATATGTGCAGTGGCAACAATAAGCTCTCAAAAAGAGCTGACACAAAGATTATTTTCCCATCCTCCTTAGCACTATCTCCAGCTTTGTGATGGAGCTACCATTATTTTCTGTCTTTTCTTCTCAACCCTCTTTTTCCTTTTCTTTGGACATGTGGTTTTAGAACAGGACTGCCTAGATAATGACATTTTCAGGTAGACAAAAGGACTCTTTTGTGCTCTGCAGCATGCACAGTATCCCAGGGAACAATGCAACAATATTTTTCATAGCCAATTTCAGCATTCCTATTTCCCTCCATTACCCTTTTCCCTTTTAGGGACTGTCAGAAACCATTCCACACTCACAGAGTAATCACGTAGTTTCATGTTTCTTTGTTGAGAGAAGGCACATTTGTTATAGAAACATATCCACAAGTGAGAACACCTAACTAAGCAAGCCAAAGCCATAATCAGTGAGGGCCCTTCCTGAAACAAGTTTCATGCTGTTGCACAGTAGCAAATGCAAGGATAAAGCCGACCTACTCAGACATAGGGAAAAAAGCTATAAAGGATCTTATGAAATTATTTGATCGTGACCTCTCAACTAAATCCACTTCTTAGGAAAGATCTAGGAGTGGTACGACAGATTATATTCTATTCAAGCAGAGCTTATTAATTTTTAATATACAGTGTAAAGCTTATTGGATAACATGAAGAGAATAACAAAACTGTGAAATCAGTATCAAGCCATGCTTTCTCTAGTGTAACCTCAGGTTTTATGAGCTGGCTTTGAAACTCCATAGGTATGCACATCACCCTCAGAGAGCCTTTCAGCAGCCTACAAGCAACCCAGAAGACCAAGAAACTACAGCTAGCTCAGAACTGCTGCCAACAGCCACCAAACTACAGTCAATATTTTTCACTTCAATGTTCATCACTACTGTGATACAATAACATTAAATGTAAACCAATAAATTATTGCTTAGGCAAAGCCTAAAGGCTTTATTTATTATCCCCTCTTCCCAGGAACCAAATATTTGGGGGATGTTAAGTGTAACTGTCAATAAAGAAAGGCTTTATTTTCATTAAAGAAGGATTTGGAAAACACTATCCATAAAAAAACCTGTTGGCTCCCCTTTGAATTTCTTAGATTCTAGGATACCACCAGAGAGTGTGGGTTAAACAATAAGGTAAAATTATAGTAATAAGAGGTTTGAGAAGCTACAAAATCCGCTGCAACACTGGAAAGCTATAATTTTCTCTAAATAGTAGTGATCCTTTTTCCTTCTATCCAAATCCTCCTTAAGTTATGCAGTCTAAAGGATGTAGTACTTATAATTTTTTTTCAATGTTATAAAATCACTTTTATTGTCATCGTTAGTAAAGTTGTTTTAGGAACTTATAAATGTCTTTGTCCATAAGGAATACCTGTAGTGTTTGGCTGAAAGCTATGGCAGCTCTCTGGAGTTTTTAGTCCCTTGAGTTTTTAGTCCCTTGAGAAGTTAAGATATCAAGTTATATGATAAAGTCATGCCCCTTTATCGGAAGGATCGCCTTCTTTTTCAATAGGTTATTATGTATGAAAAGATACTGAAAACAAAATCACTTGATGGCACATAATAATATAAAGAATAGGGCAAAGGACACCCAATTGTTTCACTTGTCACCATTTTCCTGGGAAAGCCACAATTCCAAGGGCTTTTCATGACAGTTCCACCTGCTTTCACACCACAAGCCCTATGAGCCAGCGGGGAAGTGGTTTACAGCAGTAAGACAATACCAACCACACTACAGCTTTCTCCTCGGGTCCTGAGAACCAAAGCTCAAACCTGCAACTAACTGGGAGCTTCCTGTCAAAAGGGGTCTCTGATGAAAACCATATTACTCCAAAGCCAACATCTTTTATGGAAGACTTTCCCCACACACATTTTCTCAGGTTTCTATCACAAATCCTGAAATAAATATGTACAGTTGCCTAATGTTACCTGATTCTGACTGCACTGGTTTGCAGAAATGACCTGAAATACTCATGTTCCACCGTATTTCCTATTGGGTTGTCTTGCCTCTTGGGGACAGTGGATCAGAGGCCTGGATGCCTCTGCAAATCCCCCTCTCTTCTCTAAGCAGGACTCACGTATGTTTTGCTGGACTCAGGTCAATAAATTAAATCAGGAAACATCTGGACTTAGAAAAGCCCTAGTTCTACTTGGAAATAAGATGGTGAAACAAAATGTTCCACTGCTTTCAAATAATTTTTCAATCCCTTAAATTCCTTGAACACTTTTGATGCATCAACTTTTAGTGGGAACTGAAGCAAATACTACACACTTTCTACAGGACCATGGATACTTACTTACAACAAAAAGCTTCATGCTGCCAGAAGAAGATAATATAAGACTAACCATAAAGATATTCTCTCAAGATTCTTGCTTTTTTTTGCTATAATCTGTGAAAATGACACATTTCAGTACTTGGGGTTTTTACTACCTTGTGCACCTACTACTATAAAATCAGTTATTAACCTCAAGGAAGTAAGAGTTTCACTCTGTTTTCACTAAATCTGTGTTTCAGTTGCTCTAGATATGCAAAAACATTACACATAGACAGTACTTATACATACATATAGACACGTATCTACTCAAACACAAGACACATAGACACACTTCTGCATAAAGAAAGAACAAAGATATATACCACACTTAGAAAGCATCCTCTTCCATCACAATATGCATATATAGAGGCAATTCTTGTAGGAATGTACAATTCCTTACATATTACTCTCATAATGGAGGTTTTAAATTGTTCTCCTTTGATTTCTTATTCAAATTTCCATCCACCTTTGTGGATGCCCCTTTGTGATCTGTGAGCACATCTTTGAACCTTGCATCACGTGCGCTATATTATAGTCAAAGAAAGATCAAACACTGTTGCTATCCATACCTGCTCCAAGGGACAGAGGCTCTTAAATGCAAAAGGGATCTTAAAACTCTGCAGGCTTGTGAGCATTGAGAAATCGCCTGACAGCTTTGGACTTCGCTGAAGGCAACACAAGCCTCAAAGTGAGCCTTAGAATGTAAATTTGCCCATCAATACAATCATAACCAATTAAATGAAACTGAACTCAATCTTTACCATTTCCTCATCTCCTTCAGAATTTAGAGAAAACAACAATATAGAATAGGCTTATACACAGTTGACATTCCCTACAGCTCAGTGAAGTCTTAGTGCACATGTGCTTTAAAGCATGCCCTATTTAATGCTTGTGACTACGCAGCTGACCAAATTCCCCCCCAGAAAATGCTTCCACAACCTCTTTAGTCACCTTGCAGAAATATACAGCAACGTATTTCTTCTAGAGAAAAGCACAATACTCAGGTAGGGCTTCTTACCAACAGCTATCTTCTGCCCCTGCAGCTAGAAAGGTAACTCTCTGCTTTAAACCAGAAGATGTGAACGATTTACAATTAACAAATATATGCACACACTGGAAAGCAAAAGGGTTTCAGCTCATTTACTGTAAAAAGATAATAAGCTGTGTCCTACCTATGGTGGTAATAACAGTGCCAGCAAAGAAGAAGGAACTTCCCAAGTCCCAGTGACTGATTTGAGTAGATGTGTTTCCTAAAGGTATGATTCCTGCATTTATTGCTGCCACTACTTGCTGCAAGTTGAAAGAGATTTTTGTCAATATTCATGAAACAATGATATCAGTATACATTACACAGTAAATCGATTAAATCAATCATTGTATCCAAGCAATAAAGCAGAAAAGGATCAGCATTGCTCTGCTCGAGTTTTATCGAGTCAGGCTACAGTTTAATCTTCAGCAGACACCCCAAGCACTTCAGCATGCAGCAGAGCTGTAAATTCCAGACCATGAAGGAGAATGCAATATGCATCATCTGAGCAAACACAATTAGTTTTACTGTTGCAACCATTTGGTGAAGAAAAATATGCATTATATAAAGATTGACAATGTGAGTTTCCCAAAACATTCATCTATTGAATTAGGCGAGGAAATACACTCTATAAAACACACCTATTTTAAAACACCACGAAGAAATGGCCACACATTGCATTGCATCAAAAGAACGCGAATGAATTAAAACAATTCTGTAGAACAGATAATTCAATAACTGAAGATTAATAATTACAGTTCTAGAAATTTCACTATATTAATAAAAAATCAGGGTCAAATATCAAACATGCACCTCGAAGTTTATACAACTGTTTAGTTCAGAAAAGCTGCTCTTGGAAAACTCAGCTCTAGCAGCTACAATGCACAAGCTTGACACTAAGTGACATTTTCAGTCTCAACAAATATGGATGATTTCCTATTTCAGCAGTGTCAACCATTGTGAATTCTTATCACATAAAGTATTCCTGGTTAGTTTTGTATCTATTGCAGACAGACACCAGTGTTTGAGTTCAAAAATACTCCTTGATGTGCACTGTTTCACTTTAAATGTTTTAAGGAATATAGGTTATCATTTAATTCTGAAACTCTAGAACAGGCCTTATTTCAGATTCATGACCCTTATTATAATATTGATGTCTAACAAAAGAACAACAGGGCAATGCTGCAAAACTGATATGAATGATTTAACTGATAGTTGCTGCTTGGGGAGTTGTCCAACACTGATTATGCACATAAAGCTATTCAGCAAAAGGGCAGACTAGGATGGTTTTCCGTGTGGGCAGTCTGTTGCAGAACAGTGTCGCACAGTAGCGATATTTTTTACAATCCCAAAGTACACTGATAATTTGCAAATGAAAATGTTTTGGTTTCTAAACAGTGCCTATGGCAGTCAGTCGATCTGGATGGACACGACAAAATGCCAACGCTGGATTAACCAGGTCATCAGTGTTTCATGAGGGGATCTCCGCTTAAATCCGCCATTTCCAGTTTGCCATTTTCCAAGCTCAGATGCACAAAGTAGCCAGTTTGAAGTCCACAGCTCCATCCCCACAGCCACCTATGTCATTTTCAACATCCAGGGCTGCCAGCAGAAAGCCAGCTGGGGGATCCCTACATAGACTTTACACTGTTTTATCTTCCTATGTTTCATCTTCCTGTGTTTTATCTTCCTATACCTTCAACAGTTTCCATCTTAACTTTTTTTTTTTTAATACCACAAAGGCAGACATCAAAGATGTGGAATTTTCAACCCCACTGAGGCAGGAGAAAGGATGCGGACAGGGAAGGGGAAAAGACTTGCATTTTCCTTGGGGTTGTAAGAATAAAGTTTCTTCTATGTTTGTACATCGCGCACAACCTGGCAACAATAAATATGGAAGCTCTCATACTGACAGGTATTTACCTTAGCCTAGGATGGGGCACATCAGACCAAGCAGCGTATGAAAACCATCCCTTGTATTGTTTGTATAATTTACACAATTCAGATACTCCTTTGACTTTTAAACCCGAGTTTAAAGCTGCAGTATAAAGCCCCCTGACTTCATTTTGAGTACTGTTTCATTTCAGTGAACTAAGAACTTTCATCATAAGTTCTTGTACCTGCAAATGGTCCTCTCCAGTGAGGACATTATATGGTGAAGCAGTGGATCAATATAATTTTATGAGACTATTCATGTTTTATTACAGTTTATTGTAGTAGACAAATGCAGTACCCTGAGCAATATATGTGTTTTGGCAGCCTAGAAAGACCAAGATTTATACACACCCAGATGCAAAATGTTTTCAGAGCTTTATATCATCACTACACGTTTTGGAAGCCATACTACCTCAGCATCTTTTATTTGAAAGGACTGCCAAGCTAAACTGCTCAAAGATCCATCACAGCTCTGCATTTCCTAACTGCAGTGCACCGTACCTACAGACTTCCAGGGAAAATACAAAGGTACAACTTAATCCCAAACTGCTCTGCTGGGTCAGACTGAACAAAGCACAACAGATGGCTATAAAAGACAATTAGCTGCTGTTGTTATGTCTCTGATTTTAGCCAACTGCTAATTAGGAAAAGAATCAGGCAAGTAGGCAAGGGATGTTTTCTCTTCATACATCCTAACTTCTGACTAAGCACAGCTTTAGGGACTTTCTGAGTGGGAGGCTGCATCTGCATCATGGTGTTCAGATTGCTTTGGGTGGATCATTTTACCATGAATTTATCTAACTGCTTCTGGAGCTCACTTGTATTTTGGGAGCCAAGTCATTCTGTAGCAGCAGGTTCTGCAATTTACTTTGTGGATCATTTAAAAAGCATTTCCCTTTTGAGATTTTTATGTGCTTCAAAGTAATTTTGTGAGTTCTCATGTTATGAGAAACACTTGAATAGCAATTTCTTATTTGCCTCCTTCAAGAAATTAATGATCTTATACACCCATCAGCTGCCTCTTTCTTCTGAATTAAAAACTCTTTCTGATTCAATAATATATTTACCTATTTAAATAGATCTGTTGAATATGTATGTAAGTATTCTTTTATTGCCAGTATTTTTCATTGACTTTCTTTGTATCTTTGACTGCTTTACCTTATCAATTGTTTTAAACATAGTTTCAGTCATAAAGGGCCGGATGATGCCTTCTTCATCAGCAGGTTAGGAAGTTTCCGAACGCACCTTCTTATGCTGTGTGTTGTTACCATGTTTGGGAAGAGGTATAGCCTTAAGTACTAATAAAGCTGCTGCATTACATTCCTTTAGAGTCTTCTGTACTTAGTCCCTTACTAAGAAGGATGACAGCTAGGTAAGGTTGCTGGTTTACTGAGATCAATGCTACTGTCTCATAAAGTCTTTAAATGTTGCCAACAGAGTTTTTGGAAGAGGTAATTGCATATTCAGTTCTTTGGATCACAGGACATCTTTTCTTCTTAGTTTGGTCAGTGCCTATGAGCAGATCCTCATCTAAGACTATTCCCAAGCATAATTTTAAAAGAAAATAATATATAACATAACTTATAAGTAGGTACATTTCAGGGCTCTGATTTCAATGTAGCATCTTCTTTCTGACTACATTCACTGCACAAACTTATCTGGAATATTGGATATTAATATTTCCTTAGTACAGAATAAACCCACAGGCTCACGCAGCTGGTTTCCCCTAACTTAACTAAAAGCCAGAATCTCAGTGTTCAAACAGCACACCAGCCATTGTCAGTGCTGTTAGATTCAATACACCGTGCCACTTTATTCTTGGGCTTCAGCCTTTCTTCTTAACTGATGCCTTTCTACTAGAGCAAACACAACCACTTCATTTGTCACCAGTTTGGATGCTGCTCTTTCCTTCCTTCATAACTTCGTAACTTCACATCAGCCCTTCAGCTTACGCCAACTCATACAACAGCTATAGTAACTATGTGCATTTTGAGCCTTGCAACAATTAGAATCATGAAACCCCTATACAATCTCTACTTTTATCGAATGTTGCATCCTGTAAAAGCTTTGTGTGATCTCAACATGGGAATTTCCTGACTTTTAGAGAGTTACTTTACAGAATTAATGTTAACTGACTGCCTTAATGGCAATATTTCTAGTTTTTCTTATTTTTATTCCATACACAAACTAAATTTGACTTAAAAATCAGTTTCACTTCAGCACTACAGAACCAGTCACCGTTAGAATAGGGATGTGGACAATTTCAATTCTTAAACTACATAGATTATTCCACTTGCCTTACCACCTTCCAGAGCCTTTCTCTACTAGTTGTCTCGTATAAGAAGGCTGAGGACTGAGCAGAGGAGGGGGTCACCCAGCACATGGCACACAATCAAGGTCTCTATGTGCAATGGCTTTAAGCATAATAATATATGGTCACAGAAAAAGTATTTTTTTTCTTCTACAGTTGTCTTTAGAATAGTGAAAATATGGGGGGGGGGGGGTTGATAGTGAAATGAACTGAGATAAAATGTTCAAATATTTAAATATTTTTGAAGTTCATTCCCATTTTTTAACTTACATGGATTTTTAATTTAGCTCTGCACTATATCTTAGGATAGACATGAGTTGTGTCCATGTCTGTGTAGAAGTCCTAACTTCTACTACATCCAGACTACCGGGCTTTATACCCGTATTCAGGAATTAGCTTTAGTAGAGCATCAAAGAGGCAGGGACGTTTGAGCCCAGAGTGGATAGGCCAGGCATGACCTGCCTTGCTTTCAAAACCAGGACCTGAGCTCCAAAAACACATAAGCATTGTGTTTATACTGTAGGGGTTTTGCTTGAAACCAGAACACTGGGGAAAGGACAATGAAAATATAAAATCTCATTTGAATGGAACGTCAGGTTTTCATTTCCTATATGATTTAGAATCCCTTACGGTAAATCACACAGAGAGAATCATTTGGGTTGGAAGGGACCTTCAAAGGTCATCTAGTCCAACCCCCTTGCAATGATCAGGGATCTTCAACAAGATCAGGTGCATTGCACACTTTTGTGTTATCACATCCCTGCATTCACATAGATGTCTCTCCATTGAGGCCACACCAAGCTTCCCTTGCAGATGAAGACACGGAACTTTGTGGCTTTTTTCTGTTAAAATGAGATATAAACCAGCCACTCAAATGGCACAGTCATTTTGTGAAGAGACATGACAATCAGAGATTTCAGCCTCTGGTCCTCTGACCCTGCAAGGAGTCAATGGAGATAACTTGACAAAAGCCAGCCTATTGGCCATAGAGCTACATCCACTAAGCAAGGGCCTGCA